TTTTTTTAGATAAAAAATGTTTTTAAAATTATTTTTTTTTTATTGGAGTCACTTGTTCTGATTCTTGAATGTTTTTTTTTCCAGGTGGTTTCAGTAGTTCAAAACAGAAACCTTCATCATTCTGCGCCAGTCACCGCCTCCTCAAATATTTCCTCCAGTTCCTCAACTTCCTCCTCAGAAAATCTCCCAAAGGTAATTCTTTCTATCCAAATCTTATGAATTTTTAAATGTAAAATCAGTGGCTGATATTCAAACTTTCTTTCTCAGGTAATGATTCCTTTGAGCAGCATCCCTACCTACAGTGCCTCCATGGATTCCTCTTCCTTCCTGAAGACCTCCTTCAGCAAATTTCCGTACCCCACAAAAGCTGAGCTCTGCTACCTGACTGTGGTCACAAAGTTCCCAGAAGAGCAGATCAAGATCTGGTTCACAGCCCAGAGACTGAAGCAAGGCATCAGCTGGTCTCCTGAAGAGATAGAGGAGGCCAGGAGGAAGATGTTCAACACCATAATTCAAACGGCACCTTCCAACTCTCACAACCAGCCACAGAGTCACCACAGCCCAGCCCAGCAAACCATCACAGTCCTGCCTGCATCGCTTGGGGCCACCGGGATCCCTCACATCCTGCAGGGGTCTCTCGTCGGCCAAGGAGGGGTAATCGTCACACAGCCGGTCATGGCAAACGGTATCCAGGTTAACAGTACTCCTGTTGCCCTAGCTGTCACACCTAAGCCCCAGGCAGCAGCGCGACCTATGATGCAGGCCCGACCTGCAGCGGCCCTGGTGGCAGACAAAGGTGTGAGCATGGTGGTGGGGTCAGTGGGAAGCAGCAGCACAGGAACGAATATCATTAGCAGCTGTAATAGTAGTAGGAGTGGGGGAGGGGGCACTAGCAGTGCTCTTAGCAGCAGTCAAACTAGCGTGATCAACCTCAGCTTGGGAAGCAGTAGTCATAGTAATGCTAAGGTGAGCAGTGTCAATGACAGCAGCGGTAATGTTGACTCCAGCGACAAGGGCAATGGGGATGCAACTGGGCATGTAAATGCCAAGAACACAGATGTCAGCAATGCCAACAACACCAGCGTGCTGCAGAGTGACAACAAAGTAACCACAGAAAGCAAAAACATCACAGACATCAAAACCGTCAATGGCAACAGTTTACCGAAGAGCAAAGATGATAATGGGAACAGCAGCAAAAATAGTGAGACAAGCGCAGATGACGTCGACCCCTCTGCCAGTGACTCCCCACCCATGAAGATGGAGGAGGCTTCTTCCCCTGCCTCCAAGTCTTCTTCCCCATCCCCTGCATCTGCCTCAAGCAGCACGCTGGGATCCAGGACGCCCGTCAACCCCTTCCTGGATCCCAGCTTTTACAAAGGCAAAAAGTCTCAGGAGCAGCTCAATGCCCTGAAGGACAGTTTTCAGGTGTGCCAGTTTCCCAACCAGGAGGAGGTGGACCGGCTCATTGCGTTGACGGGGCTCACAGTGCGAGAAGTTCGCAAGTGGTTTAGTGACCGGCGCTACCATTTTCGCAACCTCAAAGGTACACGTGCCGGCTCAGGACCACAGACTAAACCCGCCACCGCACCCGGAACGGGCAGCAGTCCGGGTACGCCAGGAACAAGTGCCGCTGGCAGTGCCAACCCCATCGATCTGTCAGAAAGTAGCAACAACTCTGGTGCGAAAACTCCCCAACACAGCGCTGCACCCCTGAGCCCATCTGCATCATCACAGACACCCACCTCTCCCACCACACCTTCCCGCCGACTCCCCAGGCCACCGTCACCTGATTTCACAGCCATCCGCTACAAGGAGAGAGAACCCCACCAGGTGAGGCCTTACTACGCAAGCTTGCTGTGTAATATAAGTGTAATAAGCTTAGCAGTTAGCCAGGTTTCCTTTTGTCGTGATTACTCAGTTCTGTGGATTTCCACATCAAAGTCTGTTTATAAATGCAGAAGAGATCAGCTTTCTATTTGTAAGAGTTGTGGCTCCAGATGGAGCTGCACAAAATTAGATAAATAGTGTGTCTCCGGGGGTGTAGACTTCATCTACATTAGCTGCTACTACCACAACAAACTTGAATGTGCAAGTAAAATGTAAGCAGTAAAGTTCAAATCTAAAAGAGGATGTGTTTTATTTTCTTTCAATGCACACCTTATAAGATGAATAAGTGAATTAGTTTTTGGTCTTGGAAGGCTTGAAAAATTGTAAAATGAGGTATTCAGAGTTTTGTTTTGTTTTTTTTAAACTACAAAGATGATGTCTTTAAATATCTCACTCTGTCTGAACTGTTACGGATGGTAGTTTTATTTTTATTTTTAACTTGAATAACAAAATCATTAATCAGATATCTCACAGATGCCAGTTCTTTGTCTTCATCGAAAAAAAGACACTAATAATTAACTTGCGTTTATTATGTTAGGTTAAAGCCCTAGAGGGCAGCTTTTCCCAGAACCCAGACCCATCAGGCGAGGAAGTGGATAGACTGCGGTCTGAGACCAAGATGACCAGAAGAGAAATCCACGGCTGGTTTGCTGAGAGGAGGAAGAGAGTGGCAGCTGAGAAAAAGAAAGAGGAGGCTGAGCGGGCAATGCGAGAGGAGGAGGAGGGTGAGGATATCGAGGTTGATGGAGAAGAGAGGCAGAGAGATGAAAGTTCAGGGGAACCAAAAGTCAACCCTATTAAAATAAATCTGAAGATGCTGAAGGTGACAGAGGCCAATGGGAAAACTGAGAGCGAAGGGCTGGATAGTACGGCCGCATCCTCCCTGGGTCCTGCCTCATCTGCCACCCCCAAAACATCGCAGACCTCCACGCCAACACCCAAACCAGCTCACTCCCCCAAACCCACAGGCGTCCGAGGTAAGAAGACAGCGGACCAGCTGCATCTGCTGAAACAAGTTTACGCTCGGACCCAGTGGCCTAGCGCCACTCAGTACGATGAACTCATCTCAAGCACTGGGCTGCCCAGGCCTGAAGTGGTGCGCTGGTTCGGAGATTGCCGTTATGTGCAGAAGAATGGCCAGCTGAAGTGGCTGGAGTCGTACCAGAACATGGCTCTGGAGGAAGACCTACAGAAGGGGAACGTGCACGTCCTCCAGGCTCACCTTGACGTCCACGGAAGGCTGGAAGACTCACAGGTATCAACAGCAACAAACATTTTTTTATAGTTCCGTAGCTGAGAAACACAGGAACCTGAGAATCAAGCGATTTCTCTGTACTATTGCTTTTATAAAAGCTGACAGCATATCCTCTAATTATACAGGCATATCACTCCTGAAAGTCACACTAGGCATTTAGAGTTCCACTTTTAAAATGCTTCTGTTGCATTAGATATATATTTTGGGGATTTTAGGTGTAAATAACTGAAACCTCATATGTGATAGAAAAACCCTGACTCACTTCCTGTTATATCAATGTACTGTTAGGGGCATTTGCTATTTTAGCAAATCCTCTCCTCTGGTTGGTGTGTGTGGTTTACTCATGATTAGTGTTATTGTGTTATTTTCCCATCAATTCTTTCAGTGTTGACCTGCGAAGGCAAAAGTATTGCTTTATATATTTTAATTTACATGTTTTTCTGGCAACACACTTCAAACAAAATTAACCCCACTCGTCTTTCTATACACTCCTGTATATAATCCAGGAAGTGGATATGGGATTATGTGCTTGATTGGAGATGTTGTGAGGTCATAAGGAAGGTTTTGGGTTGCAAACAGTGAAAATGTTGAATGCATTCAAGGGTCTGTTGGAATTTGATTGGTAGAACTGGGCTCAAGCTTAGGCTTTTTAGAAGAAAAAAACATGTTTGCTAATTGATGCTTTTGTTTATTTGTTTTGTGGTCATTTTACTTTAAGTAAAATGCATTTATTCTGAACCAAGAAAAGGAAATACAGGATACAACGGTATCATGTGATGTAATTCTGGATACAGTTCACCAACAAAGCAGTGTGTGGATTATCTTATTTTATAAGTAAATATATGTAAATGTCTCTGAAGTCGCTCTGAGACGTGCATTCCTTTCTATTAATCTGTCAGTGTGTCACCTAGTACCATTTGCAAATCGATTTCAATCCACGTACGTTTTAGTGAACAACTGTGTAATCCAGCCTGTTTCTAAATTGCAATAAAAATTATTTATTCATTCATTTTTTTAATGCATTTTTCATGTCCTGTCTGGACAGGAGTGAGATCTCTCGATCTCTCTCTGAACTCGTTCTTGGTGTCAGGAGGAACTAAAACAAAGTCATAGCTACAAGTGCAGCATTTTTTTTTTCTTTTTGCACATGTGGCTAAAATTTGATCATGTTGCTCTCTCCATCTCTGTAAGTAGCTTTAAAGACAAAAAAGTGAAAGAGATTTAAAAAATGCCATTGTGTGAACAGACATCATTATTACAATATTACATTTTTGTTCAAATTTACACTTGTGTTCATGAGTCACGTAAACTGAGCTGCAGGCTCACGTGAACATCAGGATCTTTGATGAACATACATTTTCGAATTGGAAAAAATCTTCACATTTGATCTTTTTTTTTCTTTCTTTTTTTTGCCTTAATATGATTGTTGCCATTTAGCATCAGCATCTGTCTTCAGATTTTTATTGATTCCTAAATAAATATGAACTAAATATGTACATATGATATTAAAACTTTAGAGTTCATTGAAAATCAAATAAGACGTTTTAGACTAGTGTAAGATGTAATATTATTGCAATATATTGAGGGTTTTTTCAATAACATGTCATTAAAGGGAAACTGTCTAAATTCTAAAAGAACTTTGTTGCAAACAGGTATGAGTATGAAAAGGTGAAATGTGTCATCTACGAGTCCACTTTGCACCTAAAATAACCGTGAACCTTCCTCTTGATTCCCCTTCTGTATGCACAGTTGCAGGAACTTGCTCAGAGTAGCAGTTTGACAACAGACTTGGTGCGACACTGGTTTACCACTAAGGCGTCTTTGCAACAAACTGCCGCCACCAGTGCCGCTGCTCATACAACAGGAACGCGACCGGTTGCACCAGGTGTGGCTGCAGAGCCACCTATAACAGGATCCTCCCCTCCAGAGTCGCAGGCAGGAGGTGGGATGGAGGAGAAAATGGAGGCGTCGGTGTGCAGTGTCGCAACAGAAGCAGAGGACGCAAACGCTGACGAGACTGTGAATGCTACTAAAGGTAATCTTCATCAGCGTGAGCGTAAGCTCTCCCTGCAGGGTCTGACCAAATATCCTGATTTGAGCAATTAAACACCTAAAGAAAAGCTGCAGAACTTCTAAAAGCAGAAGCAGAAGGTGTTTCATTATGAAAATATTATTTGCGCCTCCGTAACAATTTATTTTTTTTGTGGCAGGGTTTAGGTGTTAAAAGGTGATAATTAGAACACACCTAAATGTTTATAATCGTCACTCAGGTGATACAGAAGCGCTAAGATAGAATATACAAACACACACATTCATCATAATTATGAGTAATGAGGCATGCTGTGGCAGGTTTTTGTTTCAAACCAGTGCTTGTGTAACTCCAGCACACTGTGTGTAGCAATGAAGGAAATTCAGACGTGCTTTCTGGAGCGTGTTGTCAGGGTGACAGATTTTTAATTTTTTTTTCCTTTTTTTTTTTTTTATTTTTTTTTTTTTTTTTTAATTGCAACAGGAACTGATTGAAGAGGCCTTTTTGTGCGAGGATGGAGTTGACATCGCAGGTGGTCTTTGTTCCGGGAGCCTGACTAAAAGACGGCAGATGCGTTTGTAACAAGATCACTGGAAGGAAATGGATCTTGGAGCCACCTCCACCCACCCACCCCTACTCCCCCCCACCCATCTCTCCCTCTCTCTGTCTCTCCTTACCGCTCACACCCCTCGAGGTGGGCATGACACCCCACATCCCCCAAACTGCCTACATGAGATGGACGCTATAGCAGCCCCCCCGCCCCCGCCAAAATCCACCCACCCAGCCGCCCACTCCCTTCTCTCCTTCTCCAGTTTTGTCTAGATCTCCACTACAACTCTCCACTATTCTCCCCTCCGCCATTTTCCCTTCAGGAGAAAGTAGACACTGAGGTGCAGGAGTGGAGGTGGCAGTGTAGGCGTTCAGGCTGACAGCGTTTTGCTGCCATGTTTTTTCCAACTGCCTGCTGTGATGGGGGTAAAGAAAGGGGTGGGAAGGGAAAAAAAAAGAGAGGGGTGGATGTGTGGAAGCAGAAGAAGAGGGGGGGAAAAAGTGTGTTTGAGACTGCAAACTTGGCAGATGTTGATCAGGTGGGGGTTGGGTTTGGACTCTTATCGACTAAGCTGAGACACGATTCAGTGAAGCGTTGAGACTGTTCATTGTTTGTTTTTTGGGGTACGAAAAACTGCAGTTTTGCTGCAGGGTGCTTGCCTAGGCCTTAACGTAACGTAAATCAAATCAACCTTATTTTCCCCATTGTGCCGTCTTCATGCTGCTTTTTTTTCCCCTGCATCACAAACTCTGACTTCATGCTTGCAGTTTATTTTAGAAATGTGCTAGCTGCCCTGTTCACAGCAACAAATGTGAAAAGCAGCACTGACGCTCATTCAACCCGAGGTTATTTTGGAACATGTTTTTGTTCACACTTTTCGTATCTGTACATACTTTTCATTTAACATGAAATTGCTCAGCGTGGGACGACATCGGGGATTGTTTCATCCAAAGAGGGCAAGCACCCTTTAGAGTCTAAAACAAACAAACAAAAAAGTGACACAGTATATTAGACTACATGACATACGGTTTGTGTTGTAGCATCAAGTGCTTCTTTACGTATCGGATATGTACGTATATTTGTTTTTATGAGACTTTGTTATAAAATAAATCACACTGTAAACAAACTGTGAACTACCAGAGTTCCATAGGCTTGATGTATAATTTTTACAGATGGCATTTCAGAATAAAAGCAATGTCAGAAAGCTGTGGCTCAGTGTGTCTGTTCATAAGTGAAGTTTTCAACATGGCTTACAGCACCGAGGCAAATTAAGAGGACTAAACCTCAAATAAGAACCTTATGATGAAAGATTTACCTCATAAGTAATTTTAAGCCCCTGTCGAGCTAGCTTTGTTGCAAACACTCAGCCACTTTATTAGGTACTGTTGTAATTGCTCATTAACACAAATCTTTAATCAGCCAATGTAAACATGGTCAAGATGACATGCTTAGGTTCAAACTGACTTTAAGTGACTTTAAATGTAGTGTGGTTGTATGGGCTAGTTTAGGGGTGTCCAACTCCAGTCCTCAAGAGCTACTGTCCTGCAGCTTTTAGATGCATCCCTACTCTAACACAGTTGAATCAAATGGTTGGATTACCTCTTCAGCAGGCCATCAAGTTTGGCAAAGGCCTGATAAACAACCCATTTATTTGATTCAGGTGTGTCTTAGTAGGGATGCATCTAAAAGCTCCAGGACAGTAGCTCTTGAGGACTGGAGTTGGACACCTGCTGGCTAGTCTGAGTATTTGAAAAACTGCTGATTTACTGTGATTTTTTTTTTTTCCCGTACAACCATGTCTAGGGTCAGAAAAAGAATATCCAGAGCAGCAGTTCCCTGGGTGAAAATGCCTTTTGGTGCCAGAGGAGAATGGTTCGACTGCTTTGAGGCGGAGGCAACAGCCACAAAAGTAACCACTTGTTACAACGTGGGTATGGGGAAGAGCATCTTTGGGCAGCAGACGACCACACTGGGTGCCAATCCTTTGAGCTAAGATTAGGAAACTGGGGCTACAATACGCACATGACTCCATCCTCCCTTTTATCAAAGGTTCAGGTTGGGAGCGATGATGTAATGAATGGTGTGAGGGATGTAGTCTTGTCACACTTTAGGTCCGTTATTACAGAGTATCATTTCAGTGCCACAGCCCAAGTATTGCTGCGGTCTATCCCAGGACCAATCTTCCAATGGCTTCTGATGGCTGATAACGCGCCATATCACAAAGCTTCTTGAACATGACAATGACTTCAGTGTACTGAAATCAGGCGCCAGCTCTCAACCTAATAATTTTGCAACAAAGAATTACACCAGTTTAGCAAGAACACAAGTCTAACTCAATACGAGTAGGGTGTATCTACCACAACGTGGCCTTTTGCCCTGTTTTCCAATAATGTACTTATGTTTCTTTTACAGTAGAATTGCCTTCAGATAATTGGGTTTAAGGTATTGATAATAAACTTTCAGTACAGCAACACTTTGGTCACGTTCAGGCTGCTGTTCACACATTCTCATATTGAAACTACAGTACAGATTTCCTGTGGCGTAGTGTAGTTAGTGACACCTGTTGCACTTACATTTTGGTCTTGGAACCGAAAAGAATTAACCTCACCGAGTCACACCAGCACATTAAAAAAAAGAAAGGCTAACAAAGATGTATAAGTAATAAGTATTTTATTTACTTTTCAGGCTTGAATATGTTTCATATGAAAGGCAAAATTAAGATGAATACTCTTCCTCTCCATATTTAGGCACATTACAGAAAGGCGGTTGTAAATGGAGCTGTCACTAACTAAACAGACAAGACTGGAGAAAAACAAAAATGCAAAACTCAAATTACAGTTAAGGGCTCTGTGCACCCACACAGGTGTTCTCGGTTATTCTGGCAGATTAGAGCTCATTACAGGTTGGCGGGAGTACGTTTTGTCTCGACAGAAGTGAACAGTACAGTCGGGGACGTGTCAGTCAAACGTGGTCTGTAGAGGCTCACACGGTGCAGAGAAGCAAAGTGACAGCACCTGTGTGGGTGTACCATGGCTGTGCAGGTGATTTATGCCCAGCGGGGCAGGTGAAAGACGTGGCTTCAATGTGATGTGTACACAGATCGAGGCACATAGACATTAGCAGACAGTTCAGCAATGAGAGCAATGCAGCATTGGAGGGTGAGCTCTTATCCATCGGAGAAATAAATGTTACACGGAGGAGCTTTGGGATTAGTATGGGGGTGCAAATGCAACATTTTTGTCTTTTTCTTTGAGACCTCAAGTATTCACTCCTGACCCTGCCTTTACCTCTAATCATAGCATATGGCTTAGGTGTGCCCCAGTGACTGAACACTGAGCAAGAATATTGAGCTTACATCATATAGTCACCACTTACAAGCAGAGAAAACACTGTTTCGGGTACAAACCTGGAAAGATAACACCATAAGTGCTCCTTCTGGGTTCAATGAAGGTGCAGATTACCTTTGTCATCCATAAATGAGCTACAGAAAAAAACAAAGAAAAAATTCAAGCTTTAACTCTGCCTGTTCATGTCAATCTTGCTCTTACCCCAGAATCACAGGAAAGAACATCTCCCTGAACTTTTAACTGCACAATGCACAAGGGAGGTCCTGATCCACCAGCTGGACAAACGTTCACAATAATGAAATGTAGCATTCTGCATTCGCTTCGATCCATCAGTCAGTGTTTTGCACAAAGCCTCTATTTCTTTCCCTCTTGTTTTGTTTGCACATTTCATTACAAATAAAACCAAGGGCAGTGGCAATTTAATTACCTCTTAGGCAGTGTAATCCTCACTGGATTCTGGGAAGCAGCATGTAGCTATGACAAAACTGCCCAAAAATACCACAACAGCACAAACACGAACGGTCCTTTATGTCGCTGTGGCCCAGTGATGGGTACCAGATGGCACGATTACTTTATTCCCAACACTGGCAACTGAACCCTTCTCACTCAACCACTGCTGGTCAATACAGATTTCCTTTTTAACTAAAAAACAAAACACAACAAAACAAGAAACAAAGAATATCCAAAACTGTTTGGTTACAGTAAAACACTTTCTTAGAACCTTAAAACCATTTGAATACATATTTGTTGTAATCAAAACACACTTTCTTTAATATGAACTGTCCCCGATCTGTGGCCATTACGCCAAGAGATAATGTGAACAAATTAAAATGCTCAGAATAAAGTGGCCAGACATAATTTTACGACGTGAAATCTGAGTTCAAAGGAGTATCCACTGCTTCATAAATCCTGGCAACAAAGGGCTGCATAGTTAAAAGGGTAACTATTACAATCATCATAATTACAGTAATCGTGGCGCACTGACAAATTTAAAACATTTACAGCGTTCCCTGTAAATTAATCTAATTAGATTATTTTTATAGTAGTTTGAGGCACACATTCATGTCCCTCAAACCAATATGTCTGACTGCGACTGTAAATAATAACCACTGCTGAGGGGAGTGAACAGGATAATGTTTTAGCTGTAACCCACAGCCCTGTGACTCGTCCCTCTGAGTGACAGGACATCTGTAAATATGGCCTGTAACACATTGGTAGTACAAGTAAGAAGTGGAAGGAAAAAAAAATTTAAAAAAAGCACATTTCTCACAATAAGACCTTTTTTTTTTTTGGCTTAACGTTTATCCCTGGTCCTGCTTCGTCACACAGTGAGGTGTTGGATTCCCAGGACATGTCTCAATGTGTCACACTGGCTTGTAAATGCGTGTGAAACGCAGCAAACACGGAATGATGTGCACTTTTTGTTTTTCCTGGAATGTAGGTTAGAAATAAGTGTGTATATGTGCAGGCATAACATATGATCTGCTCTCTCACTGCTCCAAACACAAACAGGAAAAAAAAAAAAACATAAAATAAAAATTTAATATCACTCCAAGTTTAGGGTAGGAGATATGCTGGAGGCACACTATTTCCTCTGCAAAAAAACAAAAAACAAAAGAAGAGAAGAGAAATGTTTTTAAAAGCAGTGAGAGCCCTCATGTTTTACACATGTACATAACAAAAAGAAATCACATTATGAATGTTTAAAGGTTTAAATAATCGTAATAATTAAAAACATAGAGACAGGAGCTCTTTGAGAGCAGGTGAGCTGGTGCTGTTCTCTGGCCAACAGCACAGCAGGAATAAATATATATGTGTATATATACACACATATACATATATATATATATTCATATTCGCCAAATAGAGAAGAGCAAAGAAACTTAACTGGAAACAGTTTCAAACTGATACCTTCTATAACTGTCCCCTTTCTTCATCTTAGCCTTCAAACTAAGCAGCTGTGCACACTGAAAACACGAGAGATTACAAACAGTCAGGCCAGAGCTGGAACTTTTTCAGTCTTGCTTTTTGTTCTACTGTGAATGTCGTTTCTTCTTCTTGCCCACAGCGGTCAGCTTCCTCTTAGTGACCCCCCCTCGCCCCTCTAATGTCCGAGTATGCCCCCCCTCACGTTCTCGTCTGGCAAGTGGTGAAGAGAGGCTGGGCAGCAGGGAGGGAGGGGCAGAGAGAGAAAGAGAGAGAGAAAATGGGGGGGTGGGGGGGGTTGGGTGAATGGAGGGAGAGAGAGCTGCCTGAAATGTAGGCCAAAGCGGTGGTGGGCGTTTCCATGGAAACTGTTCACAGCAGTCAGTGACATCATCGGTACAGGGGAGAGGCGACTGGGTGGTGGGGATGGGGAGGAGGAAGGGGGGGTTGCAACAGAAATGCGTCCTGATTGGCTTGGACTTAGACACGGTTCTCCACTCTGGTCCTCCGCGGGATCCTGAAGTGAAGACAAAGACAGGATGATGTCTGTAATCTTCTACACGTCCAAAACACTCTGTACAGGCATCTAACACCCCAAAGAGAGACACACCACACACACACACACCTTCTGTTTTGCGCGTCCATGTCCAGCAGTGTCTCCTGGGACACCCTGAAGTCATCTATGGGGGACTGGTAGCGGGATTCAAAAGAGCCTTCCCTCCCTCTGTAGGCCATGGCCTGGGCTGGAGACTGAGGCAAAGGAGACATGCTGGAGGACGTTGAGGAGACTGAGCTCAGCTCCCCAAAACGCTCCCGCACTGACTGAGCTGTTGCCGACACTGATGAGGCCCCGACTGCAGCGAATGGGCTGAGAACCTCACCGTTTTCATCCTGAAATAAAAAACAAAACAAAGGAGTAAACACTAGTGGT